ATGTCAATCTATTGATGTGTAGTCCCATCAGGTGAGATCTATGCATATAATCACGATTTAAAAAGTATTTGCAATGAATCATTAATTGAAAAAAATTCTACATGTATTCTCCAGCTTCATTTCTGTCCCCAAAGTCCTATTTTCTAACTACCAGTTCTCCTTTTGTTCCAACTTTTGTATTCTTCATCAGTTACTGCAATCAATTTGAGACTGTATAAGTTGGTAGAAATCCTCATCTTAATTTTTGGCGTTAGCGGCTGGTGACTATATTTGAATAAGTTATTAACAGATCTTTCATGTATGTGTATGGTGTCTGTCACAGCACTGCACTTCAAGATAGATCTTGTTCTTCTTGATAATGAATACACCATCATCTTCTTGAATGTTTCATGTATAATATTGGTACAGGTCATGATTGTCTCACCCAAAATGGCCAATACCAGAGTTCCGTTCAGCTCACTAATGCCATTTTTTTACCACTTCCAATTTTCCTAGATTCATACTTTATATATTTCATGGTACAATTATTATTGGGTGCCTACAGTATCTTGCTCTTCATCTTTCAGTAGGTCAAAGCTTTATGCCATCTATGTTATTAAGACAGACCCTACCTTGAGGAAGTAGCTTTTCCCGAGATGCCTTCTGAGTGCCTTCCAACCTGAGGGGTGCATCTTCTGGCACTGTTTTAAAAAATGTTCTTCTGTTATTCTTAGAGTTTTCAAAGCCTTCTCATTTCAGAAGTGGATGACCAGTCCTGCTTCTTAAAGTCTGTAAGCTCTGCTAAACCTGTCCACCATCAGTGGCCCTGCTGGCATATGAAATAGTGATGGCACAATCTCCAGCATCACAGCAACATGCAAGCCACCACAGTATGGCAAACTAACATAATATGGTAAGGTTCTGATCTGTTAGTTGCTAGGACTGTAGCCACCTCTATGGCACCTAAGAACAACAACTGATCCACAGCCTTTGGCAAATGGATGGTCAGATACTTGAAAAAAACGTAACTGGAAAATTGGTGACAAGGAAGTATGAAGGATATGTGGGTAGACCTCTTTGTGTCTGTGCAGTAAAAATATTTTTCTCATGGAATCTCTCACCAAAGGGTGACCTCAGCAGAAGAGGATTTTAGTAAGTGGTTAGAATGACATATTCTGTGGAAACCAGTTAACTTACTTCCTCAGCCACTCTTGTCATTGTCCAATGAACTCATGACAGAATGTTCATGGTGGCAAGGATGGAGATTCTGCATGATTATGCTATTCCCCAAGAAGACATGACTACAGCCACTGCTGAGTGTTCAATCTGTAAAGAGCAGAGTTCCTTAGAGCGATCTGTCAGCAATATATGGACAGGTTAATTACACTGCACCACTTCCAGCATGTAAGGAGCAGTTTTGTTCTTAATACATAATTGCCTTCCTTGAATGCCAAAACCATGGACTTACAAAATGCCTTACTGTCATGACATTCCACACTGCATCACCTCTAATGAAAGGACTCACTTCAGAGCAAATGAAATGAAGCAATGGGCCCATACTGTGACACAGTTGGATTAACAGAATGATGGAATGGCAGACACAATTACAATGCAACCTAGGGACCAATACCTTGTAGGATTAGGGTAATACTCTCCAACAAGCTGAAGGGGCTTGTAAACCAAATCCAAGGTATGGTGGTTTCCCTAGAAGGCAAGACTTATAGGACCAGGAACCAAGAAGAGGAAATGTGAATGGTACCACCATGTTTACTTTTAATGACTCACAAAATGTTTCTGTTCTTATGATTCTGCACTCTGTGAGCTTAAAGGTCTTGGTTCCAATGGGGAGAATACCCACACCCTGAAACTCACACTGGAAGGTAATATCTTTGACCACAAAGGAAAGTGTTAGGAGTTACAGTACTAGCTGATGTGATTTTGTGTTGTGTACTGCTGAGGCGGAACCAACTCCTATTTGATTTTTAACTCAAAGCGATTTTTCAGAGGCAGCCTATCTCCTGGGAGATTGTCCATCTTTCTTCCATGAAGCAGCTGGTAGATTAAGTTGTGGCACAATTCTTTACCACTAAATCATCAAATAAGGGTAAACTGGTTAAGCACATGGTGAAGGTAAAGATGGGTATGACTAGAATACAGATTCCCTAAGGTGCTCAGTACTAACAATGAAATATATAATGCAGTAACCTGTAACTAAAACCAATAAAAAAACTACAACCCCATTCTGATAATAGTCTAGACCCTTCCTAATGAGTTTGGATCATCCCACAAGGCAGAAAGCACAGCCACCTGAGGTACTTGCTGAAAGGAAAAGGAATATGGACTGAGTGTTGGAAGAAGGAAGTTCTAAGTATTAGCTATTCACACATGGTAAGCTGCAGAAATGAGGACTTTACTGGTAAGGGACCTTTCTTCCTTGTATTTATATATGACAGAATTTTTATTTATAGAATATGTAACTAGGACAAGTACATTTCCAGTTATGTTAGCTGTATCATGTGAGGTACAGTATGATTTTCTAATTATCTATTTGGTTCATGTGTGATTTAAGATGCATACAAGGGGTGGACTATGGTGATTAGTTGTGTCACCTTGACTGGGTCATGATTCTCTGGTTTGTTACTTATGCTGTAGTCATCCTCCATGCTTAAAGCTGGAAGATGTTTCTTTGTGAGTGGGGCTTCCATCCAATATGGGTGTTCTGGCAAAGCTAACTTTTTGTGCTCCATCTGGATCCTGCATCTGGCTTATCAATATAACCTCTGATTCTTTAGACTTGAACCAGTGGTCTCAAATAACTCTTTGTTGGTCACTTTTGAGACTTGTCTTCACAATCTGTGAGCCAGCAGTATATACCATCTTACCTGCTGATTCTGGATTTGTATCTGCAGCTCAAGCCAGCACCCTGTCATGCCTAGTTTGTCAGCTCTTACAATTATGTGGATGTGGAGAAACCATCGGCCCTGACATGTGACTCATGGACTTGACATCCTCTATATCCACATGAGCCACTTGAGGTACATCTATCTTACTCTCCCTCCATATAAATATCGAGCCACTGACTCAGTTTCTAGGTTAACAGAGGGCTATACAGGACAAAAGACATGCTAACGTAGAGAACAGGGAAGAACTTCACGAAGTCAGTGAGACTGGAAGCAGAGTGAAAAGAGCATTTTTAGGTAATTATATTGTACATATTTGTGGATTTTTAGAAGGAAGCTTCTTGAAGAGAATACTGCAGACTTTGGCACAGAGAGAAAACGTATAACAAAGACACACATGAAATGTAGTAATGAAAAAATGTGCTCAGAAAAAGAAGTGTGGACCAACACACATCTATAATACACAGTCCAACTCAACTTAATACATGTGAATACTAAGACCTCTAACTCAAATCTACATTTTCCAAAAGGTAAACCAGGACCAATTATTGTCTCTGTATAATAGTGTTCATTAATCAACACATTATATATATTGGTCTTGTGGTATTATAAATTTAATTGGGATCAGATTAAATTGATGTAACTAAATTTTTTTTAAAACTCCATATATGCATGCTCAAAATGTTACACGTCAATAGTCAAAATGTTTATCCTTTAGTTATTTTTTTGGCACAATGCTGTCACTAGAGGAATATGGAGGGACAGACAGCACCCTCTGACAATGTCAGAAGGGTGATCCCAAAAATGACTCAAGTCCATGACAGTGGTGGCAGAAGCACTTGGGGTTACAGTGCCAGCTGTTTCATTCAACTTGCGTACCGTCAAATTGGATCTGACTGGCACAGGAGATTGCCCCTCCTTCTCCAGCCAACTAGTGTGGTACATCACCACTATTAATCTCACCCCCTAAGGGGTGGTCTGCTGACTGGCCCATTCACCTGCAGGGAGGGGTGTGTGGAGTGCACCAAGAGTTACTGTACTGGGGGACACCCCTGCTTCAGCATACATCAATTTAACTATGGAAAAGGGGGAGGCCTCTAGGACTAAGAACATGGATGTCTGACCATGGTGGAAAAGTCTGGCATGATCTCCAGGGACTGATGTGGATACGACTCTGGTTGAAGTGGAGGGTATGCTCCAGCTACGCATGTAAATAGCAGCTGAAAATACTGGAGGCAATGGTGCACATGGTGTTTCCTGGGGACCTGCTAAGCCACTAAACATTAAGTTTCTGGATGACAGACAGAAGGACAGCCCAATCAAAAAGCCAAAATAATGGATTAACTCATCAAAAGTGACAGCAAGTTTGCCATCAACGAAATGACAGAATGGACTGATAACTAGGAACCAACTGCACAGAAAATAGCTTTTGGAAGAGATGTGGTCAACATCTCAGAAACTATCTCGCAAAGACCTATGTAGGTTCCCTTGATGTGGATATTCAGTGGAAATATGTTCTTCGCTATCAAGGCATCTAAGGCAATAAAGGTGACAGACTGGCCACAGGATCTAGAAAATAGGAATTCATCACAGAGGTTACCTTCTCTCTGGTTATATCTGCTGATGCCAACTTCCAAAGTTTTACCTTTTTTCCAGGGAATCTCCATATAAACAGTTTTCTCCTACCTTTTGCAACCTTTCGGGAGCTCTGGTGGCACAGTCCAGTCGCACTGCTAACTCAAAGGCCACGCGTCTTCTGGTCTGTCATTGACTCCTCCCTCATGATTTACAACTTCATAAACCCACAGGAGGGTTCGCTGTGAGTTGGTTCCAACTTGAAGGCAATGAACTAGAGTTTTAACCCCTACTATTGATATTTACAAGCTGTTCTTGCCAATTAACAAAAATACTTTTCTGCTTTAAAAGAGGCAATGCTAGTGTGGTTTATTAGGGCCTGAGGTATGTGAGAGAAATGGCAAGTGAGGAATCTGCAGAGGCTAAAATTCATGCACTCTTTGTTGCCAAGTGGAAGCAAATTCCACCACCATAGTTTGTATTTCAATTACTAGATTTCTCCTGAGCCTTCTTCTGTTCATATTTAAAGGGTGTTTATGATGCCAGTTATAGTACTTCTCCCTCTCCAGTGTGGACTCTCTGATGCTTGGCAAGATTTGACTTACTACAGAAGGTTTCTCCACAGTTAGTACACCAATAGGGCTTTTCCCCAGTATGGATTCTATGGTGCTTATTAAAATTGGAGCTGTGGTTGAAGGCTCTGCCACATTCTTCACATTTATATGGCTTCTCTCCAGTGTGGAGTCTCTGATGGGAACTGAGACCGGCGTGCTGACTAAATCTCTTCCCACACTCATCACACTGATAAGGCTTCTCTCCAGTGTGTGTCCGGTAATGGCGAATGAGGCTCGCTTTGCCACTGAAAGATTTCCCACAATCTTTACACTGATACGGCGCCTCTCCAGTGTGACTTCGCTGGTGTTTCAGGAGATCCGAGCTCTGACTGAAGGCTTTTCCACACTCGCCACAGTCATAGGGTCGCTCCACCATGTGTGTTCTATAGTGAAGGGTAAGGTTTGAACTGTGGCTGAAGGCTCTCCCACATTTAGTGCACACATAAGGTTTCTCGCCAGTGTGTGTTCTCCGGTGCTTAGTAAGATTGGAGCTATTACTAAAGGCTTTTCCACACTCTGCACATATGTAACGTTTCTCTCTTTTGGCGAGATTTACAGGAATCAATTCTCTGCCTTTCTTGGGTCCTATGTCTTGGGTAGGAGATTTTGTTCCTTTTTCCCTGTCAAGGTTTGCCTGCGGCTTTTCTAATCGAGCCTCATATTTATCATCCATTCTCTTGGTAACAGCATCCCCTTGAAATGTACGAGAGACTTCTTCAGAACTTGGTTGCTTATATGTTGTTTTCTTTTTCTGGGTGTTTGATTTATAATCTGAAACAAGAAATAGGACATGTCAGTTTGCTGTTCTGAGGAAAGATGTGTTATAGGATCATCAGTTGAGACTAATGAATTCCAGTGATTAAAATACAGCTCTATGAGAAGTCACAATATCCCAACTGATAAAGAGAAATCATTGTCAGATTCAATTTACAATACTGGATTTTCAAAGAGACTCTTCTGCCAGGAGACACGATAACCATCTCTTTTCACCCCAGAAAAAGATCTTCATATAGAGAGATCAAGAAAGAGCTTCATATTATAGACAGGGCATAAGAAAAAGCAAGCATGCTGGAATAGCAGGAAAACACATGGATCATGCTTAAGCAAAAATAAAGAAATAAAAATGACTCATAAAAACTCAAAGTTAAGGATTATCTTTCTTAGGGGCCAAGAGGCTGAGTGGAAAATGCCTTCCCCAAAAACAAGCTCTCAGAGAAATGTAATATAAAAGTAATGAAAATGAACATTCAGTCCATTTTAATCATCCTTGAGCCAGCGCCAAGTTTTCATTTATGAATGAAAACACTCAACCCCATGAAGCCTTAATTCTCATTATTTGACTTAACATTGCATAGGTCTTGAATAGCTCATCTTTTAGTTGTAAAGTCAGTTTTAACTGGAGAACTGAACTCAGATTTAAACAGTATATCTTTTTTTTTTCTTGGTGAGAAAAATTTGTATTTAGAATTAGCCAGCTGAACTCAGTTTAGATGACCCCAATTTTGTTGGCAACATCCAAAGCATCATAGTCAGGAGCAAGTCAAACATAGGCCTTCTTCTCTCCATCAGGCCTAATCAAAGTGTTGACCTTTGCCACATCAGTGTCATAGAGCTTCTTTACAGCTTGTTGGCCTTGACATTCACAATGAACACAAGTGTGTTGTTATCTTCTATCTTCTTCATGGCTGACTCAATGGTCAGGGGAAATTTGATGATGGCATAGTGGTCAAGCTTGTTTCTCCTGGGGGCACTCTTCCGGGGGTACTTGGGCTGCCTTTGGAGGCTCAGCGTCTTAGGTGGGTGATGTGCAGATCTTCCCTTTTTTTTGGCTGTGGATGCCCTTCAGGACTGTCTTCTTGACTTTAATGCCTTTGCTTTGGTTTCCGTTTTGGGAGGGGCAGGGGCTTGTTTCTTCGCTTTCGGCACCATCTTTGTGGAAAGCACAGGTTATCTTTTTGGTGGGGAATCTCACCTGGCAATCACATTTAGTTTATCCACTTTAATGAAAAACTTAGAGTTAGGGAAATGAATTTTGAAAGATGGGCTCTCTCAGGGAGCTGTTATACCTCCAAGAGTATAGAAGCCTCAATTAACACTGTACTTTTCTTCTAAGGTGTGTCACCTGTACATTACTGACTGTAATGAATCTCCAGGGAGCTCTGTTGGCTTAGTGATAAGGATCTTCACTGACAACCCAAAGACATGTGGTTCGAATCTATCAGCTGCTCCAAAGAAGGAAGATGAGCCACAGCGATTCACAGCCTCTGAAAACCCATTGGGGGGGGAGCTCTGGTGGCCTAGTGGCAAGAAGCTGCAACTACAATCCCAGAGGTGCACGGTTCGAATCCACCAGATGCTCTGCCGGGGAAGGAGGGGCAATCTCCTCCTGTACCAGTCAGATCTGATTTGAGGGTACACACACACACACACACACACACACAAAATAAATTAAAAAAAAGAAAACCCATTGGGGGGTCAGCTAATACTCAGTTCTGACTTGCTAGCATCCAACTAGAACAATTAATTTCCATTACTGATGCCAGGTTCTTCTTAACGCAATTCAGCTTCCCTTATCTGTCCAGCATACAGTATGAATAAAGTGAAAGGATACCATGCTGCCATATTTCTTTTTCAGTTTTAAACCATTCAGCGTCTCGTTTTGTTTGGGTGACTCCTGCTTGATATTGATATAGGTTCTGTCTGAGTACAATGAGGTGTTCTGTAATTCCCATTCTTCTCAATATTATGACCATGTGAAATAATCAACATGGGCAAATGCCTTTTTGTACTCAAAACACTGGCAAACATCCTTCTAGTATTCTCTGTTTTGAGCCAAGATCCATGTGACTTGAGAGATGGTTTATAGGCAGTCCTCAGGTGATGAACTCTTCACTTGCCCTTTAAAGTTTTTTTTTAACTTTTTTTTAAAAATTTTTTTAAATTTTATTATTTTTGTGTGCGTGCACCATCAAATCAGATCTGACTGGTACAGGAGGAGATTGCCCCTCCTTCCCCGGCAGAGCATCTGGTGGATTCGAACCATGCGCCTCTGGGATTGTAGTTGCAGCTCCTTACCACTAGGCCACCAGAGCTCCCCTCCCTTTAAAGTTTTATAAACTTGCCTTCACTTTGAAATGACTGAACCATCCCCTACTTGAAGCAAATTCTCCTTCATAATCACCTTCATTTGCTCCATGTACAGACTTTAAATCACTGAAATATCTCTGAGCCTTTTCTTACACTAAAAGATGACTAAGTAAGAACCATATGACCTGTTCTGACTCACAAGTTAACACTTAAAAAGATTTTAAGGAACAGGAACAGATCTAGTTCATAATCCAGGCACTGCGACTTCTGCATTTGGTTTCAGCTCTGGCAGCTCCCTGCAGATGTAAAGCTGCAATTTTCCTGTATTATCTTCAGCAAAATTTTGCTAGAATATGATACTGATGACACTGTTCAATCATTCATGTTTGATCAGCTTTCTTTTGAACAGGCATAAATATGGATCTGTGGGCCTAAAGGAGCAAGTGCTTCCAGTGTTGCACCTGTTTGTTGAGTGATATGACAATACCAATACCCAAATCATCACCACTGGGAGGTCAACTATTAGTGAGATGTGAGGCTCTGGGTGATGAAATGTTTGATCTTTTCTACAGTTTTGTTGGTATTTAGGGAAGTGGACTGGTTGATCCTTTTTATGCTAAACACATGATGAAATAAAGAGATGCAGTCTAGGTGTCTGAGTTACAGCTCAAGCATCACAAAAAAGACTTCAAAGATTCCAATTTTGTGCCAATAGGCAAGTCATGATAGACAGAGAAAAGACTTAAGTTGTTAATGATTTCCTTTTACGTGGATCCTCAATCAGCACCTATAGTAGCAGCAGTCAAGAAATCAAGAGATGTGCTACACTGGAAAATGTGTGTCAAGGATTTCTCTAAATCTAAAATGCAAGGATGTCAGTTTAAATATCATAGTGCACCCGACCCAAGCCATAGTATCTTCAGTTACTTTCTATGTACCTCAAAATTGGAGAATGAATAAGAAAGGGCTCAAGAAGAATTGATGTCTTTGAATTATATTGGAGAAGGGTATTGACTAGCCCATGGACTGCCAAAGAACAAACAAGTCTGCCTTGGATGAAGTACAACTGGAGTGCTCTTTAGAGGAAAGGATGGAGAAATTTTGTCTCACACACTTTTAGCATGTCAGGAGGTGCAAGGCTTTGGGGGGAAAAAAGCCATCATGCTGGGAAAGGCAGAGTCAGCGAAAGACAGGAAGACCCTCCATGAAATGGTTGATCCAGTGGCTACAATTCTAGGTTTCACCTTGATTGAGCTTGATGACAGTGCAGGATGGGGCAAGGTTCAGAAAGGCCTTGACAACAACGCAAATGCAGAAGAAAACAATTTGTGAGAGCCACAGACTTTGTGAAATCACACAATACACACACAGGGCAGCCTACTGACTCTCATGGAGTCATTTCTGACTCAGTGATCCTATGAGATGTTGTGTGCCGTCTCTAGCACAGAGTAGAACCATCCATAATGTTTCTGAGGCTTTCAACCTTTATGGAAATACACTGTCACGCCTTTCCCCTCACTGCTGGCCTTCTGGTTAGCAGCTGGATTTATTAACCACTGCACTACCATGGTTCCTTAAAGAGTGGTCTAGTCCTAGTTTGAAACTTTTAGGTAATTGAAGAAATTTCAGACTGGCAACTAGTACAAAGTAACTAAAAGAATGATTGTTTATGGTTTCTGAGACTATTCTGTGAGATTTGGTTGAGATTTGAGCTGAGGAGGACACAACTAAAATTGAACCCACAGACATCGAGCTGAGCACGCGTTATAGTAACCCCCATGGGGTTTCTCAGGCTGTAAATCTTTACGGCAGAGGCTGTCTTTCTCATACTGCACCTGCTGAATTGGACCTGGATTCAAACTACCAACGTTTAAGTTAGCAGCGCACCTGCAGGGCTCTTTTGAAGAATGGGAAACTCAAACTCATTGCTGTTGAGTTGGAACTGACTCAAAGCTCAACCTCCAGTGGGTTTTCAGAGGCTGTAAATCCACAGGAGACTGTTCACCTTTCTCCTGAAGAACAGCTAGTAGATTTGAACTACTAACCCAGCAGGGTAACCCCTTACTCATTAAGTCACCAGAACTCCCACTGGGGAATATATTTGTCTTAGTAAATCCTAACTTCTGAAAGAGTCCCGCCTTTTTCCATAATGGTAGGCAGACTTCCTGCTTACTTTCCATTTGCCCCTCCAGGTCCATTTCCTGCCTTGCTCACCTGCAGGAGGCTGACCCTAAAGCCTACACTGTTTTTGTTTTAGAGCTTTCAATTTGGGTCTGCCAATGAAAGCTCTAGTAGATCTGGGGGGTGAAATAGAGGGTGGAGGTGGTATTTATTTACTCTGCTTTCTCCCAACCTGACTGCAGGGCCTAGTCACAGCTTCTACCAAGCAATCCCTCTCCAATGGTGACAGCTCTCCTCTGGTCTGGGTAAGATAATAACCAGTTTTCACTACTTTGTGGGTGCAGCACCATCCCTAACCATTTTATCTGCCCACATTTCTGTAAACAGTCCCTTCACTAAACATATTTCAATTGTATGCTTAAGAGTGTGGCATCTGTTTCTATACCAGAACTCTGATTGTGACACATGCACTGAAGCAGGAAAAGGCAACTATTTCTGCCTCGCTAAGCACACTAGTCAAGTCAATCTAGATGATCACCTCACAACCAGTGATCAGAGACCATTCTGTTTTTCAGCCAACAGGCCCAGGGCACAAGGAGGGGGCTGGTAGAAGGCACCTACCTTGGATCTTTCTTCGATGGGTGAAATCCGGCACCTCATCAACCTCGTGGATATGGAGAGGCTCCCAAGATTCGTATTTGTGCGTGGTCTCCATAGGTTGTGGCTGCATGCGGCACAAGGGCTCTTTCGCGGTTCCTGAAGATGACTCTTTCTCCTCCAGCTCTTTCTGTTCATCTGGAACAGCTGAGACCTAGAGACAATTAGAAATGGTGGGGTTTGTGAAGAGTTCACTTTAAGAACTAGAGTGGCAATCTTAGGAGCGATTGTAGGAAAAATATCTATCCTTATATTTCAAAGGTGAAAATGGTTGCTTAGAAGAAAAAGACAGGAAAGCATGGTCTAATTCAGTTGAAAACTTCCATTCAGCTGTGTTTAATGTATGGATAGCTCCTTGCTCTTGCCTGGAATTCTATGCTCTCAAGTTCCTTAAAGAAAAGGAGGTTTCTCTCTTCTCACCTCTTGTCTTGGTTCATCCAGCTCTTGCTCCAGCTCTTCCAATAGTGTAACAGCCTCTTCAGCACTCTCAGGGCAGTGCTCCCGCACCCAGGCCTGGAGCTCCTCGGGCAGGATGGTCAGGAACTGCTCCAGCACCAGCAGCTCCAGGATCTGCTCCTTGGTGTGCAGCTCGGGCCTCAGCCACTCACAGCAGAGCACCCGGAGTTGGCTGAGTGCCTCCCGGGGGCCAGGCGTGTCATGGTACCCAAACTGTCTGAAGCGCTGGCGGAATAACTCCAGGTTAGGAAGGCATTTTTCCTTCTCTTCTTTCACTTTTATAATCACAGGCCCTGCCTGCTTCTGTGGAGGTCTTGGGCCCAGAACTGTAGCCATGCTCAATACTTTGGTCATCACACAGACTCAAGAAAACAGCCTTGCTAAAGATGAGCTTTTGTGTTCCGGAATATTAGTTCCTTTAGTGTTCCATGTCTTTAAGGCGACACATTAAACCTAAGAAAATAAGGTTACAATGTTGTTGTTGTTGTTGTGTACTGTCCAGTCGGAACTGACCGTCCAGCGGGTTTTCAGAGGCAGTTAATCGCATGGGAAGAAACTGACCATCCTTTTCCAACAGAACAGCTGGTGGCCTCAAAATGCATGCCTTCAGGATTGCGGTGCAGCATCTTGCCACCAGAGCTTCCCAAGGTTACCAGAGGATTACAAAAAAGAAACATGATGACTTTCTAGTCTTTTTGGAGGGAGTGCTGGTGGCATACTCTGTTGAGAGCAGTGTTACAAACCCAAAGGTCATTCCTCCCTGGTTTGGTTTGTATACATCAAGAATTCCAGGAGAGAAAGATGGACAATCTCCCACTGTGTGATTTACAGTTGCAGAAACCCACAGGCAGGTTAGCTATGAGTCTGTTCCAACTCAACAGCAATCAGAGTCTTTCTGGCCGCCTCATTAATATAAGAAATTGTGGAAATTATGGCCATTATAAAATTATCATGTAATAATTACAGTTGTTCAGACTCTTTCTGGACTTCTTGTTGTTATGCGCCATTGAGTCGTCCACGACTCATAGCGACCCTATGTACAACAGCCCTAAACTCTGCCCTATCCTGTGCCAATCGCAGTCTCTGACACACTATATGAGCACATTCCAACCCCTCAAGGTTTCATGTCTCATTTCATGTCTCATCTTCAGAGCTCAAAGGCATCGCAATAACCACAAAGACCCTCGAAGATTTCAGCCCCATCAACTCCCTGGTCTCGTCTTGCCCTTCTCTTCTTGTTCATTTTGCCCCATCTACTTTCTGTAAGTTGAGACATATTTTCACTTCAGGGCTCAAGTATTATCTGCTCTCTGCTAAACACTGCTCTTCCAGGTTACACATGACTTTCTCATGTCCTGAAAATTTTTTACTCCAGCGTCTCCTTCTTGGTGAGGTATTTATGTTTTAAACGAACACTTCCTTCCCTCATGCGAGAACTCCTTAACTCCCTACTCAACCCTTTTCTCCTGATCTCTTAACCACCTACTGTATCGTTTACTCCCCTTCGCTCTCTTTCCGTGTCTGTCTCCTCTCTCGAGACAACTAGAGTTGTCTCTTGTTAAAATACAAGTCAGACCACATCGTTTCCTGTGCTCACAACCCTTTCAGACTTCATTTATCATTCAAGAGTAAAAGCTAACGTCATTGGAATGGACAATCTGTATTTTTAACAAGAGCATCTTGAGTGCAGAAAATTTCGTTCAATTCACTGCCATAGTCGAGATGTCTAGAATCTGCTAGAGGAAAAAAGAAGGCAGCCTGGGGCGTGAGAGACAGGCGTCATTTGCTGATCGCCTTGGAGGGTGGGCGGTGGAGAAGGCCACGGGGAGACAACGCCACTACCTGGGGCTCAGCAAGGATAGGTGCGTCCTCCCTCAAGCCCCCAGGGCCAGCCAGGGGTCGTGGACCATCCAGTGCCGATAAGCGGGGTCCTCCCTCCCTGTAACCTTTAGGCCAGAACCCCCACTCTCGGCCCCCCGCCCCAGCTAGCCCGGGGGCAGCCAGCTCACCGTAGTCGGGGCCGCTCGGGGCTATCGGCCTGGCTCACGCAGCAACGCGGCGGCGCAGCCGGAAGTACGTCACAAAGACGCGTCTATGATTTGTGCGGTCTCCGCGGAGAAGACCTCCCGGGAAGTTGAGTTCCGTTAGGGACTGGGCGACCCTTCCCCCCTACATTTTCAAAAAAAGAGTTTAGACCACATGAAGGCTTCAGGAGGGATCCTCGCCACTAACTGTCTGCGGGGGAACCGGCCCCGACTCGCAGGCGTGTCCCTACCCTGGGGTTCGAGCCCCATTCGTCTGTCTCCGCACGCCGCTCAGCTTGAGACCTAACCTGGATGCGGCCCTAGCCATTCACCCTGAAAGACAACATTCCTTTTGTCTGAGGTCTGGCAGGTGCATAACCTCTCCCAAAAATGGCTTTCCCACTTTGTCAGAGAAAAGGTTTGATAGCTTAAGCTTGAAGGGCCTTTATCCATGTTACTCTTGTACAACAGCTCTCAATCCTGCTCTATGTCTCTGACACACCTACTCCTATAACCCTCGTCACTGAGTCAATCCATTTCATCGAGGGTCTTCTCTTGCGCTGTCCCTCCATCCTCCCAAGCATGACGTCAGTCTGCAAGGACTGGGGTCCCTCTTTGCAGCATGTCATCAAAGTATGTCAGACAGAGCTTCAGAATCCTTGCCTCCAAGAAGCTGCTTGGTTTCACCCTCTCTAGGTTGAACCTGTTTGTTTTCCTAGCAGTCAATGGTATATTCAATACTATTTTCCAATCAATGACTTATTCATTGCAAGTACTTTTTATAAGAAACGTTAATACCAGATGAGCTGTAGGAGGATATCAATAATGAGTGAAGACCAGATGAGCTATAGGAGGATATCAATATCATACATGACGAATGCAAATGGTTATTTTAAAGACAGAGGAAGAAGAGCAAGATGTCAGACAAGAATCTGACTATTGCACTAGAGTGCTGATAAGCCAAAGGAAAAATCAAGGAAGAATCTTTATCCATAGCATTATTGATAATGAACCCTGACAGAGATGGCTAAGAAAGCAATTTTACTAATAAAAATCCCCCAAATAATGAATTAATTCCTGTCTAGTTGGAACCAACTCATAAATGACCCTATAGCCGGGTTTCAGAAGCTGTAAAACTGCAAAGTATGTTTACCTTCTTCCTGCTGGTGGATTTGAATTGTCAGAGAGGTGTGGCTTCTGTGTAAATAGAGCAACTCCCCTTCAACTACACCAGGAGAGCTCCCTAATTTATAGATTACCAGAAAAACCCCTCTGATCTGTTCTAGGACCATCTTGTAGAAACTGAATGGCATTTACTTATGGTCAATCACGTAAGCTTAACTCTCTTATTCACTATGGCTCCTGAATTATCATTTCTCCATATTCCACCTTTAACTCTTTCAGCTGTTATAGATTGTGTAGCTTACAATTCTTTCACTCTGACAATAGTACATTGTTTCGTTTTTCATTATCCAGCAGAACAGCCTTGTCCACCTGTGGCCATGCAGATTTCCCAGTTTGGATTGTCAGTATCCCACAAATAACCCCTTTTGCTTTTATTTAAGCAGAGTTCCTGATGTTTCTCTTTGGAATCTTTTAGGATCGTTGAAAAAAGTTTTTATTACAGATATTTTCAAAGATAGACAAAAGCTGAGAGACTGGCATATACTTACCCACTGCCTAGCTTTAAAAATTATCCCATTGCCAGTCTTCATTCATTCCCCCAGACTTTCCCCATTGTTTATCGTGAAGCTGACTTCAGACAGCATTATCATTTGCTGATGTGAGATGGATCCTAGCGGAAAGCCAAGAATACCAGAATGTCTATTTGGGGTTTATTGACTATTGACTGTGCAAAGGCATTTGACTGGGTGTTATAGGAAATTATGGCTAAGATTGAGAAGAATGGAAATTCCAGAAAAATTATGCTTATATGAAATTCATAACCTAGATAAAGAAGTGGTTGTCTGAACAGAGCAAAGGAACATTACATGGTTTAAAATCAGGAAAGGTGTGTGTCAGGGATGTATCCTTTCTCCATACCTATTCAATCTGTATGCTGAGCAAATTATTTGAGAAGCTGGACTCTGAAAAGGCATGTGGCATCAGGATTGAAGGAAGACTCATCAATAAACCTTCTTATGCACGTGACACAATCTTGCTTGCTGCAGATCAAAGAATAGATCCACATCACGATAGATGGAGAAAACACTGAAACTATCAACATCTTCCCTCTTACTTGTATACACAATCAACAACCTTGGCACCAGCAGCCAGGAGATAAAGATATGTATTGCACAGGGAAAGGGACATCTCCAAATTACTGTGGAGTAATGATGTCAGTTTGAGGAATAAAGTATGCCTGATTCTGGCCATGATCTCTTCAGTCACTTGTTACGCATCTGAGAACTGTACAGTGACCAAGGATGAAAGAAGAATAATTGATGCCTCTGAGTTGTGGCATTGGAGAAGAGTACCGAGTAACCCAAGGATTGCAAAAAGAATAAAGAGGCACGTTTTGGAGAAAGTGCAGCCAGAGTGCTCCTTGGAGGAAAAGATGATAAAGCTTCGTCTCACATACTTTGGACATGTTGCTAGGAGAGGCTATTCCTTGGAGAAGGACATTATGCTTAGAAAGGTGGAGGGTTGCCAAAAGAGAGGAACATCTTCAACCAGATAGTTTGACATAGTGACTTGTGCAATGGGCTTGAGTGTGTCAAATTGTGAGGATGGCACATGATACACCAGGGTTCAAATCTGTAGTTCTTAAGGTTGCTATGGGTCCTTATTCAACTTGCCAAGATCTTAAGACCAATCATTTAGACATCTAAGATTTCTGGGTGACACATGTTAAGAGATCCTCACAAGTCATTTATCAGTCAGAAATTAGCAAATCCAAAGTGGTGAGGTCTGAATGCCTAATCTGGCCTAAGAGAACATGGAGAATATTTTTTTGGTGTAAGACATGGGAATAAGGCACAAAGCAATCTTAGTATGATAGAACAACAGAAAAATAACTTCATCAACATCCTGTGGCAGAAAAGGGGAAAGATTCTGGTATCTATTGACCAGGGCTCCCTTCCTCCTTTTTGAGTATTGTTTTCAAAGTTCTTTCAATTCCTGTATTTTCTTGTTTTATCTCACGATCACTTGTTTTGGCTGCGATACCAAACGTGGCCAATAAAACTTTGATTTCTCTTTGAACACGGATGGGCCAGACTTCTGCTCTTGGCATCTTTTAAGATTACCCCCAATCTCTTTTTCCCTTCCTGTAAGAAGTCCACACACACAGGATGTTTTGAAGCCACAATGTCATTTGCTAAAAGA